ACATGGAAACAAAAGAACTGTGTTTTTGTGCTCATCTCACACACGTCTCTCTGCAAGTGCCGAGCTGAGGTGGCCATTGGTCATGATATAAGCAAAGCAAAGTAGAAATGTGTTAACCGTCCTGTACAAATACACAAATACAATGTAAATGCATGTGTCTCTGGTATGGCCTGTGTACCCCTCACCACCCCTCCCCGCAAGAGGCTCCAAATCCACTCCAGCCCTCCGAAGCACAGTTTAACCCCGTGCGAAGGCATCTTAGCTACAAGTAGGGCCTTGAGCCCAGGATTGCCAAGCTTGGCTTCTCCTAATTTTGTGTCGCTTACTATCGGTGACTAGTGCTCTGTATGGCCCCTAGTTCGACCATTCAATAACCCTAAACCCTAAACGTCCTTCGGGCAACTCCTCTGGCGCCTACGAGCTCCTGGCACATGTTTCTTCCCGATGGCTGATGTTTACCAACTCTCCTTCATTTGCAACTTGATTGAATGACTGCTATTTTTTCCTAGATGTGGTCCATGTCACGAAGTGGCTTAGCAAACAAAATGTTGCTATTCACGTCAGTTCTTGTCAAACTCAAATCTGCAGGTTTCGAGAGCCGTGCTCACAGCGGGCCCAGAGCTACATAAACCTCCCCTTCTAGCCCACTCGCTTGTATCAGTACTTCCTGCGCTTGGGCTTGCCTTACTGCCATTCCTATTCTCAAAGTATTGCTGCTCCAATGGACACTGGAAGCCTAAGTTAGAACATAATCGCTTGGAGTTGAAAAACCATTTCACCAGAGGGTTAAAAAGCCGTCCCTGCGTTATGCATATACACCTCAAGCTATGAAATTATTTTACTTCGAACATCCCCACCCTAGCGCCTTGTCCTTCCTACACACAAATCCTAAGACCTAAAGAACCCGAGCCTAAACCTTAAACCCTGGTGTTCCCGAGCACTCCCGCGGGCCGTCACGCTGCCGCCGACAACCCTGGTATTCCCAAGCACTCCCGCGGGCCGCCACGCTGCGGCCAACACAGCAAGATTAGGGCTGATGTTTCACGCGCGTTGTGATGGGGGTTTAGGTGTGGAACAAGTGTGTTTGTATAGCACAAAATATGACAGAAGAGTACGTGTGGAATTTGCTTGTGACAAACGAGTCCGATGCATTAGGAATTCAGCCTCGAGGCTGCGAGACCCCGGCAGATTCCAAAGTTGGGATTGGGCACTCCAGGGAATCTCACGGTAGTCTGTGTCGCGGTGCTTTCCACTTGCTCAAGCAGATTCGTGTATCATGTTTCGGCTAGATGATGCTTAAGGTGACTCTACTGTTGCACTGTTCTTCGATCACACATACTGCCGAACTACGCATTACGACACAAATATCGTGACGCCAATTTAACACAAATATGCCGAAAGTGCAGTACAGATTGGCGTAGTGCAAGACGAGAAGTCCTGCAGAAACCATCCAGCAACACAAGCCAAAGTTGGAATCGCTTCCTGCGTGAAGACATGCTTCCTCCCGTTGTGCACACGCAGCGCCCTGACAGTCGTGTGGCAGCTTAACAGTGTGCCACGTCAGCATTTACAAAGCACGACTACATCAAGTTGGCATATTGTTGACTCAAACAGTACATACGTGGCCCGCATTGCGACATGCGGGGGGTTGGGATGTCATGACCATTTCGGGCTCGCATGCGGTTTCCCGAATGCTCGACCATGGTTGGGATCGGTGCAGGTGAGCAAAACTCCAAATGAACCAAATGCCCAAGCAAGATGCCAGGGGTGGTTTGATCGCTGCTTTTGACTTGCTCTTGGATGCTTGTTATTTCAGTATTTGTTCTGTATACCCTTTCCTGCTAACAATGCCACCTTGCAGCTGAACGCTGGATATTTGCTTGCTTCGTTCGCTTTGTCCGCTTCGCTCAATTTGAGTCACGGGCTGGGGCCGGTACTTCTGAATAAGAGTCGGTTTCGCCCTGCATCTTTAAACTCAACCAAACATAACCCGTCACGAAGGCTCTTGAATCACCAACATTAGATCGCCTGATCCCCACCATGCCCTGTCGCCTTGTACTATCTGGTGGAAAAGGGCCAAGACCTCTGCATTGCCTCGGGGAAATCCGGGCAGCTGTGCCGAATCAGGCATGGACAAAGATGGGAGAAAGGAGTGCCAAGCCACCACGAGCTCTTAAGCAGGGCAGTATAAAACATGACTAAGGGCCGTGACTGCAGCTTCCCAACTTGCTGTTGCAGATGCGGGTTCGCTCAAGGCAAGATTTGCACAGGATGCGCATGAGGAGGCTGTTGATGTATTAGTGTTACACTGGCAACAACTCCGGAAGGGGGACCCACAATGACACTATGGCACAGCCGTGGATCAGCTGCTCGATTGTCTGCCATATGATATCCATTTACCCAGCAGTTGCATACACTTGTACAGTAGCTGTATCTCTGTCTAACCTACACATTTGCGGAAGTGCCTGAATCCGATAGATGCTTAAACCCCGTTGGGATTGTCTCGGCCATTGGCTTGCATTCTTTGAAATATCTTATTTGTGCTGCCTGAACCTGAAAGAAGTGAGGGGTCGGTGTCTGCAAAAGGGTAGGAGACAATTCGTTTGAACCACTCGGGTTTAGGAATACCAGGTCTGTTGCCTACCACTTCGTCCCGGCACATTCCTACCCACAGCTGAACTCACAACGGTGCTGGCGGAAGGACTTCTGCAAAGGCAGGGTGCTGACGCCACGGCCCAGCGCGTCCCAGTTGTTCTTGGGCTGACCCGGGTCTTTGCACTTACCTTCAGGGGATGTCGCTGACCAACCCACTAACTCGTCGTTCAAGTTAAGTACGCCAGCTGTATGCCGGGCTACTACAGGGGCCTTAATGATTAGAATAGGGTTTTGGGGCCCATTATACTATACTTATAGTAAGGAACCCCCCAATAGTAATGATTTTAGCCCCTATATATTTCTGCCTGATAAAGCCCAGGGCCTAAACCTTCGCATTGACACTGCACACCTCAACCTTCCGCCAAAAGTCCGAGGGAAAGCAGACAAAATAATAGCCAGAATAGGAAACGTCACAATACTTTGAGGTTTGTCCGACTTTGCCCATAACCCTAAGAAGCAATGCCCAAAGTCTCAATCTTGAATCCCGACGACCCAAGCACTGATCGGCCTTTGGCGCCGCATGTGTGCGCGAGTTCAAGAAGGTCACCGTCATTAAAGTAGGGCATCCTTATCGGCGAATTTCGGCTTCGAGGTTGCGTCGGCTTGTGGATTCAGGCTTGAATGCGAAAAAGAGAACGGCCCCGTTCAGCCCAAAAGCGGAAGAGAACTGGTAGCTCAAGGTTGGAAGCACGGTGCCGAGATCTTGGAGGACGGCTCAATGACACTATGATGTGTGTTTGTTGGTGAAAGCAGGCAGATCTCTCTGCAGGGCTTGGGTTCATCATGCGGCCACTTCATTTTTCTTCAACCAAGAATTTTGGTTCAAGCTTGGATTTGAAGGGCTCCGAAGATGCCAGGCAGATAAAATCCTCGAAACCCAAGCCCCAACGAGGCCTGGACCTTACCCCCGCACAAGCCGTGGCTTCAAGTCCCCGGGTCGTATGTACCCAAACCCGGCTTCTGTCCTTTCTGTTGTTTCAGTCTCGCATGTGACGGTACACGCAAGCACAGAACGCAAAGGAAAGAACCGCTTCTTGGCAGAACCGGCTTGGAGTCTGTAGATCTCGGTAGACCGGTAGACATTGTCAGTAGCTTGCAGGAGAATTTTCCACGGCTGCCCCTACAAGTCTGTGGAGTCGCCGCTCATGTTGCGAGAGACAAGGTTCAGGAGCCAAGTCCCTTCGTTCGTATGGAAGGAGGCAGGCGAGCCGATAGCTGAGACGCAGTAGTCCGAGACCTGAGCCAGAATGTTTGCGATTCTGCCAGATGCTATGCCACAAAAGGAAATGCAAGGCAATCCAAGAATGCGTCCTGCCATAGATTGAAAAGACCATCGTATGGTGTTGTATGTTAGTTCTGTAAACGAATGTACAGATACACATTTTTTGAAGAATTTATTTCAAGTTGTCTTTAAGTCTATATGCATGCACATGTGGGAACACCTACGTGTGGCCAGAAAGAGTTGCTGTGACATAGAGAAATCGAGGGTTCGTTAGATAGATCGATAAATAGGTATATAGCAAGTTGGATACGTCGATACATAGGTAGATCGATCGACAAATGGATAGAGAGAAGATAGGTAGGTCAGGAGGTAGGAGGTAATCAGGTAGATAGACAAACAGAGCGGTGAATAGACCGAAAACGGACATGGATCACTTATCTAAAACTTGCTTATCTGCGCATATCATACACTCACATGGTGCCGTGTCCAGTGTCCTGCGCCGACCGTGCCGCGATTACCATCGCATGGGTGTGGCGCCCACCGCCCCCACCCCCCACGAAGATGCCGACTGTGACTGAAACAAATGACCGTCCTTTCTTTCGGACTTTCGAATCAAACGCTTGTTGGGACAAGCGAGGGATTTGCGGGTCGAAGATGTAATTCGGGAAGGTACGTCCTTCCCAGAAAGTTAGAGAACGCAAGGCTCACCATGGCCTCAACATTCACCAAACAGCTTGCGACCGACTGCTTCACCCCAGCCCCTCGCGTGGTGTGGCGTGGGTGGGTTTGCATTTGGGCGTGTTCAATCCTCCCTCGCAGTGAGCATGTGTATGGCCCTGAGTCCGTGGATGTTTGGGGTTTGGGTTCAGGTTGGTGGGGCAGCAACCCTGCCGAGTAAGATTACATGGACTTGGGTTCAATCGACTGAGGGCTGAGTAAGTTAGGATTTGACCACTTCGACACGTGCAATCCTCTCTCATACGCTTCTGTTTCGAGCGTGCGGATGGGTGTGTGTGTGTGCTGTTTGTGGCTTGGTGTGGGTGTGGCTGAGGGGGTGCACGGGGTCTGGGTGTTTGCGTGGGTGCGTCTGCATAGGAATGGCGTGAGTGCTTGTCGGTGTTGG